GGAGAGGGAAAGGAGGAGGAGGGGGGGAGGGATTATTTTTTTTTTTTTCGGGTTTTCTTCCCGGGGGGGTTGTTGTGGTTTTATTTTTTTCTCCTGCAACCAAAAGAGGACGGGCACAAGGAATGGCATGAGCTTCGGGAGACGGTGCGGGAGGTAAGAACCGCTCGGGAAAATCCTTTACAACACAAAGCCGGTGCCGGTGCCGATGCCGGTGCCGGTGCCGGTGCCGGTGCCGGTTTTACCGGCACCGGCACCGGCATCGGCATCGGCATCGGCATCGGCATCGGCATCGGCATCGGCACCGGCACCGGCACCGGCACCGGCACCGGCACCGGCCCCGCAACCACCCCCCGCCGCATCCCGCATCATGGAGCCGCGTTATATAACGGCGGCGGAGCCGGCCCGGCCCCGGTGCTCCCGGTGCTCCCGGTCCGGTGCGCCCCCCCCTCCCGCTCCTTCCCTCTCCCGGTAGCTCAATTGAGGATGGTGGTCCCGTTTCCCCCCCAAAATGATGCTGCCCATCTCTCCCCCTTTTTGGGGAGCAGAGAGATGCTTTTGGGGGGGGAGTAAGGTGGTGCCCCCCCCTTTCTTCCCCCATGGTTGAGCATCACCGGGGTTGTTGCGTTGGGTGGGTACTGGGGGATGTTTTGGGATGAGGGGGGGTCTAGGGGGACATCGCCGTGGGGACAGGGTGGCTCGGGTGTGGAGGTGGTGAACTGTGCCAGCCCCCAAAACTGGCTCTTCTCCTCCTTGGTGGCACCTCCCCAAGTCTGCAGCCCAGCACCCCAAAATCCTGACACCCCTCGAAAGCCTTGGTGGGGTTTTTCCTCCACAGTGGGGTGACACAGGCCGGGGGAAGGGACAACAGGGATGGCCACCCCCCATCTCAGGGCCCAGGGGATGGAGGAAAGGGGAAGGCCCTGGCTGGGATGGGAGCGAGGGGGCTGAGCCCCCCAGCAGGGTCCCACAGGGCCCAGCATGGGGCCAGGGACCCCCCCAGCAGCTCAGGATGGGGGCGAGGGGCAAGTTGTTTTGGCAGGACAGGGAAGAGGGACAGGCAAAGGGGTCCAGGGCCTGGGGGCTGAGCCCCATGGAAGGGCTGAGGGAAACTGAGGCACAGGGTTGTGACAGGAGCCAGGTGGAGACCCCGATGATCTTGTCTGGATGGGGGTCCGAGGGGGCCATGGGGCACCAGGCCGAGGTGCTGGGGCGGCTCCGGGTCTCAAGCATCTACCGGTGCTGGTGGGTTGGCAGTGCCCGGGCAGTGTGGGCCAGAACATGGCAATCCCTGCAGCAGGGACACTCCTGCCAGAGGTCCTGCTCCACGACCACCCTCTGCCCGGGCTATGGGGGGGGTCTCAGGCCCTATTTGCAGCACCCAGGGGGGTCTCAGCACACGGCAGGATGGGAGCAGTGGGCGCAGAGCGAGCGCCGTGCTGTGCTGGCATCTCCCCTCCTCTGAAAGCTGGGTGCTGATTTCACTCCGGCTACCAGGAAGAGGGAGGGAGGTGGCTTTGGAGTGGGGAGGACTCGCTTGAGCATCCATTTTTAATGAGCTAGATATCTATTTTTCTCCGAGCTGGCTTCCCCCACATCGATCCCTTTGCCATCCGCCGGGCCTACTCTCCGCCCGGTGCCAGCGGCTCCACGGCCATCTTTTCTTCCCAAATCCTGTTCCCAGGGATGGGGGGACAGTTGTTTGGGCTGCGGTGGCACACGCAGGAAAGCTGGAGGGAGGAGAAAAGGGTCCCCTTGTCCCCTCTGGTGTGGTTACCCCTGTGTTGACCATCCTGTGCAGATGTGACCACGCTCCAGCCTGGAGAAGGGAGGCCGGAGCAGGATCACTTTTGGTTTGGGGGCTGGATCCCACCTTCACATGTTGTGGGTTTAAGCTCTTCCTGGCTCAGGCTCTGGCAACTCCATGCCAGAGGTGCATCCTCCTCCCCGTGCCTCAGTTTCCCCATCCACAAGCCAGAGTGAACTCCCTCCTGGCCTCTGGCTGTGGGTTGTGGCTGCTCCTCACCAAGATCCGTGCAGATGGAGCAGCTCCTGGAGAGGAGAAGGGGGATTGGGGTGGTGAGTGGGTGCCGATGGCGTGGGAGGGAGTGGGATGGGGCACGGGGGCGAGCGGGGCCCCTTCAGCAGCATCCCACCCCCACCAAACCTCTGCCCACCCGCCACGGCCACGTTTTCTGGGTGCTCCAGGGCCAGCGGCGCAGAGGAGGGGGACAGGGCTGAAGGGGACAGCATTTGGGGAAGGGGCAGGTAGGAAGAAGCTGTTTCTCCGGGGTTTCTCCCTGCTGCAGGTGTGACCCGTGCCCAGCTCCTGGCCAGGGCAAGCAGGAGGCCCTGGGAGCAGGATGAGGCCAGTGCCTTTTCTCCCAGGATGGCTTTTTGGAGCCAGCCTTGGCATTTAGCACCCACGATGCCCTGCAGTGAGGAGTCCCATGGCCAAACGCCCCCTTCCCACTCTGGTGTCCCCAAAACCTGGTGCTGATGGCCCCTGCACTGGGCAGGCACTTGCCCACCTCACC